CATATTCTTTTTATACGGCTTCAAATAAGCATTCTTGAAATTGTGACCTTTGGATAAATTATTATTTGTTGAAACAAAGTTTACCTTTGTAGTAGAATTGTCATGACTCTCTTGTGTTATTAATGCATCTTGGTCTCTAGCCTCTTCTTCGACTCGGATGCGAGTAATCAACGCTTTTAAGAAAGTCTCCTTTTGTTTGTGGCACACGCACTTTTGAAATTCTCTCCAAGATGGCGATAGCTTGTCAACAAGTCCTGCAACTACCAAGTTGTCACCAATCTTAATGCTTTCAGATTTTACTTTTGCAACTATCATTTGGAAATCTTGTGCTTGCTCCACAATAGATTTTTCATCCACCATTTGGAAGCGAAAAAAGTGGCTAGCTACATAGTTTTTTGCTCCTGCCTCTTCAGTATCATACGTAGTCTGTAAAGTTTTCTAAATTTTCTTTGCGAAAGTGTAAGTGGTGTCATAGTAATCATAAAATTGATGAGCAAGGCAATTTAAGAGATAAAAATGACATTTATATTCATCTATATTGTAGGAAACCACTTTTGCATCATGTGCCTCATAGTCTTCATCATTCACCTCCTCGGTTGGGATTTTGTTTGGGTTATTCTCTGTAAGAACATATACAATTTTCAAAAGGCTGAGGTAAAAAAGAACTTTTCATTTCCACCTCTTAAAATAAACTCCCTTGAACTTAAAAGGCTTGTTTAGATCTCTAATTCCATCATTAGTTTTTTCTGATACTTGTTCCATGGTTGATCTCCTTAAAATTGTTAGTGAAAATATCGAAAAAATTTATATTTTATTGATAGATAATGCAAAGAAAATGAGATACAAATAGATTAAGTTGGGGCACGGATATCTTGTTTTCTTTAAGGAGATTAAGCCCACTGTGGTAGGAAGAACCCAAATACAGATGCAACAGTTACGAAATTATGACTTGTCCCCTCCAGGATACAACAGCCTGACCACTTGTCGTATGGTTCAGGCCAACTCCGTACAAGATGATGAACCCAATGCTCCACCAAGAAATACACCATTCTTTGCTAGTAATCTCTCAAGTATAAACAATAGTTGGTGTAAAAAAGTGTAGATGAAAGAAACTATTTATAAGCTACTAGAACCTTATAATTTACACCAAAAAATAATAATGACCATTAAACTAGAGACAATGGAGAGCCTCTAAATATTAACTCACCACCAAGTGCATGAACTTCCAATTAATTTCCATTCATGAACAAGACAAAAGGTCACTAAAAAAAATAATAAATCTCCATTCACCAAACAAAATGAGATTCATGAACAAAATAAATAAATAAATAAATAAAAGATATTAAAATGGTCCAACACGATCCACCACTGTGTGTCACGTTTATAGGGAAGGCAATTCAGTTGCTCATTATTTAAGTAGATTAGTGTTTGCTTGTGTTGGGCTAAGGATTTAGATGGAAGATGTTCCACCAACATTGTGTTGGGATATATCTCGCCAATACAAATGGGAGCACACTCATTCACAAAAAACAATCACATAGAGATTTATAAAGTTCGACCCAAATTATCTACATCCACGGAAAAGAGAGTGTCCTTGTGAGAATATATGTGAGATGGCCAAAATACTCAAAACTTATACCACTATCCGAACCCCATACTCAAGGGTAATTGAGCTTTTACTCACCCTAGTGTCCTCACAATATTTTTCTTCTCACCCGTATATATATATATATATATATATATTCCCTCACTACTCTCTCAATCTCTATCAAAAAATCTTATAGTTCACATAATTATTTATAACAATTTATTATGAGCATTCTAATTCATACAATTAGATAACCAAAATCCTAAATGTATTAGGTGGTTTCCTTATAGATTTCAAACTCTACTATATAAACCAACCTAATAATTGTATAATTAAACCCACGTTTGTCACATGAGTAGACTAATCTTTAACACATTGGCCTCGTTGATTGTGGCCGAAGCTGCACATTCTTAATATATTACTAACCCTTCTAAAAAAAAACTCTTGCATGTTCTATGTGTCCCTGGATCTCACAACTAACAACCTCCTTTCTTTTAACTCATCACCTAATCTTCTCCATTAATTTTCCATTTGTAGCCCTTCTTTTTTTTTTTTTTTTTGTGTAAAAACGAAATTAATTAAATAAATGAAGTAAAATGTCATTAAATTAAATTAAAATTTTCTTCTAAAGTTGATTTTTGCGATTGGCTGAGTTTTAGCAAAATGGAGATGGCTTTGAAATTATAGTTTGATTCAAGAAAACTTACTTCAATTTGGTTTGATATTTTAGAAACTATAAAGTAAAACAAATTGACAAAATATGAAAAAAGTTATTAAAAACAAACAATTTTTTGTTTGAATTTTTTATTGACTAAAATATTTATAAAAATATTAACAAAAACAAATGAAATTTTTTTAAATTCACCAACATAAACAGTTTTTGAAATTCACCAACATAGTCATGACTTTTGAATTGGTGTAGTGTCTCATTTTGTGGTGCATTATGGATTTATTTTTATAATTTGAACCGTCATGTTGTAGGGTTTGTTCAGTACATCATGCTTACCAAAAATTATATTAATCGGATATCAATAACTATATGATTGATAACCAAAAAAATAAACAAGAATTTTTTCTTTTGAAAAATTGTATAAAAACATGCAAGTCGATCATATAGTTATTGATATTCGATTAATATGATTTTTGGTAGGCATGAAGTACTCAACAAATCCTACAAACGGTTCAGATCATAAAAACAAACCCATAATGTACCTCAAAATGAGGCACAACAGTCACCCCAATTCCCATGACTTCACACTTATATTTAAGAATAATGTTTCAGAGCTCGAAAATTTTCCCCCCCCCTAATCCCCCTAATGCCCAAAATGAGCATTAGGCTTTTTTTTTTCTTTTCTTTTTTTTCTTCCATTTTCGACATTTTCGAGCTCAAACACACAGGGGGAAGAGAGAGAGAGAGAGAGAGAGAGAGGGGAGAGCGGAGAGGAGAGAGGGAAAAAGAGGAGACGCGCACACACACACACATGGGCCCCTGCATTCCGGCCGATCGGCCGATCGTCGCAGCTCCGCCATCGTTGCAGCTCCGCCATCATCGCAGATCGCAGATCGTCGCAGCTCATCCGTCGTGCCGCCGTCGTCTGCCTCTGTTTCTTCTTCTCTTCTTTTTCCCTTCTTCTTCTCTTCTTTCTTTCTTCCCTTCTTCTTTCTTCATTTCTGCCTCTGCTTCATCTCTGATTAAACGAAAAAAAAAAAAAATCCAAAAACGACGAAACGACGTCGCTTTTTGGTTCCAAGGATTCGGGGGGCGTGAATTCGAGCGACGTAGCACTGCCGTATATTTAATTGAATATAGTGTTTGAATACAACTTTCAAAAATTAATTTCACACTTACTTTTAAAAACTCATTTCAAGTAGGATTTTGAATTTTAAAATTTAACCTATCCGGTCGTCCTCCCGATCGTCCAGCCAATTAATCAGAACAGTGCTATTTTTTTTGGGAGGGACAATTAACACCTGTTATTTTTTATATTTAAAATTTAAGATATTTTTAAAAAAAATTAAATTTTGTACGAACTTTGAATAGAATTTTAAATTGTGTGTTTGGTTATGAATTATAAGTTTTTAAATCAAATATTATATATCATATTAAAAATTCTAAATTCAATTCAAAACTTTTTTTAAAATTCATAACCAAGCAAATTTTTCACAATCAAATCATAATTCCAAAACTCATAAATTCAAAATACAACTGTATTATCAAATTATAATTTCGATAGTGCTAGAGGCCTCGAATTTGCCTCGAATGCATTTTTTTTTTTTTTTGTTGGGTTAGTTTTTTTTTTTTTTTTTTTTTTTTGTTTTGTTTTGTTTTTTAAGGATGGTTATGTAAGGATGTGCCAAAAAATTAAACATTCTGCACCACCTCATCATAAAAAATTATTTGAAATTAACAAAATTTAACCAACTTAACTGATCAGTCAATTTTATCATTCAACCAATCCAACCTAATTGACTGATTAGTTAGACTGCTTGTTAAAATTCGTTAATTTTATATAATTTTGTATTATGAGTTGCCGCAAAATGTCTAATTTTTTTTGACACACCCCTACACATAGCCACCTTTAAAAAAAAATAAAAAAACAAACTAAACCAAACCAACACAGCCTAACAAATAAAATTAAATTAAATTTAAAAAAAAAAAAAACCTAAGCAGTCAATTTTATCTTGAGAAGTTGATTTTGGTGGGTTAAGAACTAAAATAGTCACAAAAAACAAAATAGACTATTTTAGCCACAAAAAATAAAATATCAAATCTAACCCATAATCATTACACTCATCTCTCACAAAAAAAAGTCAAAAAAATTATAAAGTCAAAAAGTCTTTTCCAAACCAAACTTTTTAACCCCAGGCTAAAATAACTAAAAAATCAAAAAACCAATCCACTTCCCAAACGGAGGCTCAATCAGTCTAACCCAACTCACTTACAGAATGTCTAATTTTTTAATACACCCCTATACATAACCATCCTTACAAAAAAAAGAGATAGGGATAAAAAATAAAAAAGCCAAACTAACACAGCCTTAACCCAACAAAAAAAAAAATTAATTTAAAAAAACTTTGAAGCCTTCAGCATTATTCTTATAATTTTAAAATTCTACCGAACGTTACTTAAAATTTTAAAGATCAAAGTGACGAACATAATGTTTAAAATTTCTAAATTGCCCCTTAATTGCCATAGCAGTCAATAATTAGATTAAAATGAGATATCACAAATATTTAATAAATAAATAAAAACACTTTCTTTAATAATCAAAGTGAAAAATAACTCTTATTTTAAGGAGTTAAAATGTAAATTACTCTGAAATAAATTTAAAAATTTTCATAATTGATAAAGCAAAAACAATTTGTTTTAAATTCATTTATACTATAAAAGTTCCGAATTTTCTTCTTCTTCTTTTTTTTTTTTTGGTTCATGTCCATCTAAACAAAAGCAGTTCACAACTCCACATAGAAGGAAGGAAATTCATTCTCTTTTTTTTTTCGTTCTTTCTTTTTTGCATTTTGCATTTTCCATTGAACATGAACTAGTTTCCCTGTACACTACCCAAAAATATTATTTTATATATATAAGGAGTTGGGATGATATCGAAAACGAAGACCATTGTTTGGCTCCTCAATTCAGGTTTTCCGAAGCCGAGAATCATTTCGTTCGTCATCGCTAGGTAATAACTACTACTCAAAAGTCTCTTCAGACTCATCAATTCACTCCTACTCGATCTTGCTAATCCCAATTCTCTTCACCACTGCGTTCCTAATCGCCTCTGCTTGCAAGCACCGCCCGTTTTGTTCAATCCCAGACATATAGCTCCTCACTTCTTCTTTAATCATCTCTTGCATCACCGCCAAAAATTCCTGGCTGAAGAACTGTTTCTCACCAATCGCCGCCCCAAAATCGACGTTTTGGCCGCCCTGTGGTGGCGCCGGCGGAGTAGCGATTTGATTGGACGGGTCGGAGGAATCGGATCCGGGTAAGGATAGGGTGAGGGAGGTCGGAGGATCCGATACAGTCGTTGATGCAGTCTCGATCTGGTGAACCGGAGGGGGAACTCCGCCGGTTAACGGCACTGGCCGGAAAACTTGAGCGGAAGGGAAACCGGAGAAACTTGAATCGCTCAAATCGGATCCGGATGGGCTACTTGGGTTCAGGTACAGACCCGATACATTCGTGCCCGGTCCAACACTGGCCGATCTCTTCAGAGGCTGATGCGAATGAGACCCGTCGGGGAAATTGAAATCGTCGGACATGGACGAGCATTTACGCTTGAGAGTGGAGTTCCAGTGGTTCTTGATCGCGTTGTCGGTGCGACCCGAGAGGAGTCGAGCGATCGTAGCCCATTTGTTACCGAACTTTGCGTGGGCTTTCATGATCGTCTCGTCCTCCTCCGCCGTGAACGCACGGTGCTCCACCTGAGGGGACAGCTGGTTACACCACCGTAACCGGCACGATTTCCCGGATCGACCCGGAATCGATTTGCTGATCAGCGACCAGTTCCTTGGCCCGTGCCTCTGCACCAGGGTCTGCAACAGTTCGTCCTCTTCCGGACTCCACGGACCCTTGATCCGATCCACATCCTTCCTAGACAAAGAAGCCATAGATTCAAACCCCCCCAAAAAAACCTAAAATTTCGACGACTACCCAATAGTAGCTTGGTGGGTGATCTAATGGGGGAGAGGCAGGGCCTCACCTTTGCTCTGAGAAGAGAGTGCGTTAGGAGTGGAGAGAGAGAATATATATATATATACACAGAGAGACGAAGAGGAGGATAGGGATGACCGGCTGAGCCGGTGGGAGTGACCGGTTATGAGCCGTTGGGCGCTGCTTCTAGGCAAAGCAGTTACTAGCATACAGCTGTAAAGCGACACGCGTCGGCGTGTGATGAATCGAGCTGTACACCTATATTGATTGAAAATCTCGGGGGTAATTTTGAAATTTACGAGTAAAAAATCAAAATCAATCTCTGTTACATGTATTATCTATGAATTGGACAGTTTTTGGAAGTTAATGGGAAGTTTTATCGGGAGAAATTTGAAAATGGAGAGAGAGAGAGAGCGAGAGCGAGAGCGAGTGTGTGTGTGTGTACGGTTGGGGAGGTTAGCGGATGGACTTTGACTAGGCCAGGCTGGACAGCATATTGAAACTGAATTTTCTTAATTATTTTGAGTGATGAGTTGGCACTAAACGACATAACGTACTGGCAGAATCGGGGACGAACCCACGAATAGGCAGCTCAGATCCTCTCCTTCATGGATCTCTACTTCGCTCCTTACTCGGTGGGTTAGGCCAAGTTTGGCTACTGCCATCTTTTTATCTTTTTTGGGTCACATCAATCAACATCTTCTCTCTACTTTTTCTACACATAATATAAAAAAAGTCAAAAAGTTCACTTATTTAGTCTTCCCAAACTAGGCCTTATTATACTCAACCTTAATGATATAAACTATTTATATTTTAAAATTTCCCAAGCATATTATGACGTTGTTTGAGAAAAAATTTTTTTATTTTTTTTATTAAAAAAAAATTAGTTATAAAATCAAAAAAAATAAATTTAAACAAAATATCACATTAAACTTCATAATTATTTTATTTTTTCTTTTACAAATATCATATTTAATCACAAAAAAACTCAATTATATTTCTAAATACAAACCAAACAAGCCCTATGTGTTCGGATCATCAAATTACAAATTATTTATTTAAAAAAAATTAATAAACAATTTTGTTTTTTAATAAAACGATTTTTAATTCGATGATCTGAACACGTGAGTTTTGATATCTGATTGATTTGATTTTTTATAGGTATGATATACTCGATAAATCTCAAAATATGAACAATTTAAATTATCAAAATTAAACTTAAAAATAAGGAGTTGTTTGAAATATTCTAAATAAGTATATTTTTTGACTTTTTATAAAATATGTATTGAGTTTGAAATAATCTAATAAAAAAGTGACGTGACTCAAATAAAATAATATAATTTAAATAAAATAATAACTTTTTAATTTTATGTTATTTTATTTTATTTTTTTTAGAATCCCAAACCTAACCTAAGTCTAATAGTCAATCAAATAGGAAATCAAGGAGAAATCCTCCAAGAGAAGATCTAGGCTCCAAATAGGAGGAACCTTACATTTTAAATTGGAAAAAAGCTAACAATTCACCCCCGAAATAATGATAATTCGGCAAATGGCCAAACAATAATATTTGTAGAGTAGTCCTAGGGCAGGGTAGAGTAGGGTTGGGTTGGGCTAAATTTGAAGCGAACTTAGGTCTTGTTGGATAATAAAAAAAATCATTAAAAAAATTAAAAAGTCATTAAAAAAAATTAAAATATCAATAATTTATATTAAAAAATTAAATAATTTTTTTCCCTCTATTTTTTACACATATTTTTATAAAAAATTAAAAAATTATCTCAAAGATACTAATTTTTTTACATCATATTTTAGTTAAAAAATCAAAAAATTATTAAAAAAGTCTATTCTCAATCGAGGCCTTAGTCTCGATGGAAAAATTGACTATTTTAATTTTTGATTATTTTAATAGATTAAAATATTTGTATTTAAGAAGATAATTAAATGTTTTTAATTGAATGTGATGTTTCTTAATGAAAAAGTGAAATGATTATGAATTTAATGTGATATTTCATTTTATTGGTTATTTTAGTCTATTTTATCTTTTTTATGAATTTTAACCCAAAAAGTAAAAAAAAAAAAAAGCCTTTGTCAAACAAGGCAAAAAATTATATGTTTTTTTAAATTTAATTGTGTTATACGCATTATTTATTATATTAATTAATATATCAACACATATTGGCCCCGTTTGGTAGAGATGCAGGAAAGTGATTATAACTTATACATTAACAACTAATAGCTTATAACTGTGAATATAAGTTGATTTTTGACTTATAAATTAAGCTGCTCCTCTCCCACTCAAAGAATAAGTTGATTTTTGACTTACAAAAAGCTATAAGCTGTATTGTTAAGCTGAACCAAACACATCAAAATAGCTTAAATTAAGCTAAAAGCTGAAATAAACTAGAAATTAGTCCTACCAAACAAGGCCATTTTAATAATATAATTTTAAAATTATAAATTTCATTTATTACACAAATTATAAAAATTCAAAGTTAGATTATATCATATCATCATTTTAACTTTTAACTTATTTTAAATCACATAACATCTCCATTTTTACAGTTAAAAAAAATTAATTCTTAACCTGTTTTGCAAAACAACCCCTATTATCAACTATCAAACTTGATACAAACCCCTACATATTTTCAAGCCTTACATTCATGGTTAAATTAGTTGGAGATGATCAACTCTTTTTGTGGGTGTTGATTTCCAACCACACAACCAAACGGGGAACTCAGCTGGAGAGCACCGACAGAATAGATTAAGCCCGAACACCTGCCAACAAAAATATGAGAATACCACGGTGGTTCGTCCACCAGGGGGCACTCCGACAATCAAGTCAGTAATCTATCTCTCTCAAAGATAACAAATAGTGCTTAATTCACTAGACAGAACATAAAAAGTATACCTTAGACCCATGGGGGTGCCTCACTTTTATAGTGGTCAATGTCCAACTTCCCCTAGAAGTCTTACTTCAAGGGACTCTATCCTTTACAAGGATAACAACTATCATAACTCACACTATTCAGATTAAGATGAACTTTCTCAAGAGTCTCATCTCTATCCAAATAGGTAGTTTGATGTCATCTAGGACTCTAGTCCTCTATCCAAATATCTCAGATTCTGGTATTATTGCACCATATCTCGGCATCATGGTCCACCCACATGGTACCTCGGCTAACAATCTCGGCTACGTGGACTACCCAAAAATATGTCCCCACAACTGCCCCCTAGGTTTTATTACTTCGGCAAACTGAGGTGATGGAACCTATACATGCACTCCTCCAACCGAGATCGTGACTTGTCGGCGCCAAGAAATAAGGACTCATATGTCCACTCGTCAAGAATCAAGAATCAAGAATCAAGAACCATCATGTTCTATCTCATCCAGGTCCAACATCTCAACAGAGATCACATTACAAGCAGTGATCATGACTTGCTAGTTCAAGAACATCAAGATCCTAGTATCATCTCATCAGAAACCAAAAATAAACAAGTTATGCCCTCATCCAATTTTAACATCTCAACCGAGATCAATACCTTAACTAAGATCGCACTTCTCAATCAAGATCATCATCAGATTGGAGCATACTAATCACGTCCCCATTGTGTCGCGTCATTTCTGCCTCCCACCGCTTGATGTCAACGCGGGCACGTCGGGAATCGAAATCATAACTTTTTGCCATCTTTTTCCAATTCTAGCAAAACCTTTTCATTTTCTCATTTCATGTCTACTTGTGCCTTTAGACTTTCTTTCTCTTGGCCTCTGCAAACCATCATCACTGTTCTTGAAGCATTCATTCCTATTACAACTCTGGTCACCACTTCTGGTGTGCACTAAGCAGTTCTATTCCAATCATTACGTTGTTTGACTCCGGCGAATCCCTTTCCGACATTTAGTTCCTTGGCTTCACTTTGTAAGTCCTTGATTTCTTTTATTTTAACTTCAGTTCTCCACTGTTTTCAAATATATTCCTTCTGTGGATTGTTACACATCACAGATGGTATCTGTATCTGTATCTACATTGCCATCTTGTATTCATATTCGAATCCCATAGTTCTACATGCCTTCGTTTGCTTTGACTCATATTTTGTCCGTCATGTTCTTGAGCCCATCTTCACATTTTTTTCTATATTTGACACATATCTTCTAGCACACTGTCATCGAATTCTATCAATTTTGTTCATTCCCTGAATCTATCAATGCTCTATTTTTCTCATGTTCTTGAGTTTTTGATCACTGTTTCATGTTTTTGAGACCTGTTTCTTCTGTTTGTTCTTGCTTGTTAGTAGATTACTGCCTTTGAATCATGTACATTTGCATAGACGTAGGTTTAAGATTTGCTAGAATCCACACTTATGAAAACTAAAACAAATTTTGCCTCCAAACCTTCCTCAGAACCCTAAAACTGATAATCCAGCAGTTCTTAGGGTTTCGCCGAGGACCTTAACCCACATAGTCCAACTCTCCTTGCCAAATTCACCCTAGCTGAGGTCATGGGGATATTCAAATGGAGGGTAAACTTTTCCAATAAACTAAAATGCTTCTGTCAGGAATTCTTCATTCCAACCGATGTTCATCTAAGGTTGGCTGGGGAGGAGGATTCCATGATGCCTGGAGAGACATGTATGCCCCTACCTGTAGTATCTATCATTTGAGGGTGGAGTTATTTTAGTTAAAAAATCAAAAAATTATTAAAAAAGTCTATTCTCAATCGAGGCCTTAGTCTCGATGGAAAAATTGACTATTTTAATTTTTGATTATTTTAATAGATTAAAATATTTGTATTTAAGAAGATAATTAAATGTTTTTAATTGAATGTGATGTTTCTTAATGAAAAAGTGAAATGATTATGAATTTAATGTGATATTTCATTTTATTGGTTATTTTAGTCTATTTTATCTTTTTTATGAATTTTAACCCAAAAAGTAAAAAAAAAAAAAAGCCTTTGTCAAACAAGGCAAAAAATTATATGTTTTTTTTAAATTTAATTGTGTTATACGCATTATTTATTATATTAATTAATATATCAACACATATTGGCCCCGTTTGGTAGAGATGCGGGAAAGTGATTATAACTTAT